CAACAACTCCAGAGACTGTCAGGAGGATTTCAAGTTTGAGGCCAGCCTGGGCAATTTAGTAAGACACTATCTCGAAATAAGAAATAAAAAGGGCTGGGGATGTAGTTCAGTGGTAGAGTGCCTCTGATTCAATCCTCAGTATCACAATAAATGTATGTATGTATGTATGTACGTATGTATGTAAGGGTGGCAGAAGTGACACTCAAGACCAGTCAAAGTGCCTATAGGACCAGTGCAAAGAAAGCACCTACCTTGTAGTAGAAAGTAAATTCTTAGCCATTTAAATTTCAATCTAAATATTTTACTGCAGAAACAGGGAAATGCTTAAACAACCTTTGAAAAAGTGGAAACAAATGAATAGACAAAGTCTTTTAGTATCTTTTTTTTTTTTTTTTTTTTTTTGGTGCTGGGGATTGAACCCAGGGTCTTGAATGCAAGGCAAGCACTCTACCAACTGAGCTATATCCCTAGCCCTTCCAGTACCTCTTATCTGCATTGATTCACAATAATCTTATTTCTAACACTAAGCATCAATCAATAATGCATCTGGCTGCATTTAAAGTCTTTGGAAGATTTCAAACGGAAGCAGGACAACCTTTGGACATGTGTTAAAAAGGATCCCTGTATTGGGAGTAAGGCTTGGCTAAAACATTTTCTAAATACTCATGTGATTTTTCTGATTTTAATTATTAATGGTCTCCTTAGTTCAAAGTCAGACTAAAATACAACTCCTACAGACAGTAACATAAATGACTCTAAACCTAAAAAATACTTATCTGGAACTGATTTTATTATTTTTTTAGTTCATATATTAAATGCACAGATTCCAAGCGTACACTCTCATGAATTTTGAAACAATGTATACCCCCATGTAGCCATCACCCTGTAAAATTCCCTGGCACCCCTTTCTAGTCAACTACTCCCAGGCCACTGCCACCAGGGTTGTTATTGTTTTTTTTTTTTTTTTTTTTTTTGGTACCAAGGATTGAACCCAGGCCACTTAACTACTGAGCCACATTCACAGCCTTTTTAAAAATTTTTTGAGACAGGGTCACTAAGTTGTTGGGGCTGGCTTTGAACTTGCAATCCTCCTGCCTCAGCTTTCCTAGCCACTGGGATTATAGGCATGTGTCACTACACCTGGCTACCTGGGTTACTTTGTTTTAAAATTCATACAGGTTCTTCTCTGCCCTTTTTGGGGGGTGGGTTGTGAAGAGGGTGCCAGGGATTGAACTCAGGGGCACTTGACCACTGAGCCACATTCCCAGCCCTATTTTGTATTTTATTTAGAGACGAGGGTCTCACTGAGTTGCTTAGTGCCTTGCTTTTTGCAGAGGCTGGCTTTGAACTTGCGATTCTCCTGCCTCAGCCACGAGAGCCACTGGGATTACAGGCGTGCACCACTGCACCGAGCTTCTTCTCTACCTTTTAAATGTTTGCATTGTATTTGTCCCCTATTGAACATGCTGTTTCAAACACACATACCTGCACATACATATTGGGGAATTTCCACATCACTGGTATTAATCCCTTGGTTGGCTGGGGTTTTTCCCCCTCTGCTGTATTGAATCCTCTTCACTGGTTTTTCATTGTAGCCAAGTATTGGTTATTTGTACATTGTAAATGTTATATTTAAATTGGATTAAACAGGATTATGGGTGATTTCTTACAAACCTCTTTTGGGTCAGATATCATGTACTTCTTTGTAAACCACAAAGTGTTTCAATTTGAAAAAAAAAATATGGCAATTAAAGAATCAAGATGACAGCCATTAACACTAGGTACTAAAAGTTTTTAATTTCTGGGCAACAGAATCACAAGGAGTCTAAGATTACCATTTTTGAGAAAGAGAACTTTATTGGACGACAGTGGGAAATCTGTGATGACTACCCCTCCTTGCAAGCCATGGGTTGGTTCAACAACGAAGTTGGTTCCATGAAGATACAAAGTGGGGCGTAAGTGCAAAAACAGGGTTGGAGTATGTTCCAAGTAAATCCTGCAGGTGAAAGCCTTGCAAATATTAATACATCAATGGTAATGTTTTATTAGGTTTCATGCATTGGCATAATATTGGCACAGGGGTCATGTTCTAGTTATTAATTTGAATCTCAAGTTCTTTGTATCAACCACCTTTAGATTTTTCTCCCCTGGGCATTCCTCTATGACTACTGTTTTCTCCAAGCCTAAAAGCATTCTGTACCATTCTGCTGAGAAGTCTGTGAGGTTTGGGGGTGTTTGTCAGGTTCCTAACTAGTTTTAATGCCATATACTTTTGAATTTTGTAGCTGGGTTTGCTACCAGTATCCTGGATATCGTGGTTATCAGTATATCTTGGAATGTGACCACCACGGAGGAGACTATAAACACTGGAGAGAGTGGGGTTCTCATGCCCAGACATCCCAAATCCAATCGATTCGACGTATCCAACAGTAGTGGATTAAGAGCTCCAAGAATTCCTCAAGCATTAAGACCTTGCTAAGCACTCTAGAATGAGTTTTATGTTCTGCTCAAACATTGCTTCCAAATGTTAGATGCTGAAATCCACAATAAATGACATTTATAAACAAGAAACAAAAAAATTGTACTGAATTTAACTACCATGCTTTGCACAAACCACACCTTAAGTGGCTGAAAAAAAATTTTTTTTTTTAAGAGAGAGAATTTTTTAATATTTATTTTTTAGTTTTCGGTGGACACAACATCTCTGTATGTGGTGCTGAGGATCGAACCCGGGCCGCACACATGCCAGGCGAGCACGCTACCGCTTGAGCCACATCCCCAGCCCGTGGCTGAAAATTTTAACAGCCTCAATAAAACCCAAGTTCCTCTTTGGGTCCTTGCAAATCACTTAAAAAGGCTAAAGACAATTATTTTTAGATCCCAAAGAATAAAGCATTTGATCAAAATGCTAAGCATCTATAGTGACTAGTTCATGCATTTTTCTCTCCATTATTTTCTAATATTGTTGACTTTAGCATTGATTTTTCCCCAATTTGTGACAAATTGGTACTAAAAATGGTAATGTCTCAAAATGTGTATTGCCATATATTTCTACAGAAAGTTATGAATAAATTCAGAATCTTGGCAGCTTAACATTCTAGTTGCTTAATTGCTTAGTTCAATTTAATTTCTTATTTTAGTTGTAGAGCATAAGGCTCAATGTCCTCAAAAATGTGAAGACAGCTGCGCTCTCAGCTGATTTTTCAATAAACATGCTAATTCTAAGCACTATAATAACCTGTATGATTAAAAAAAATGGAGTTGGGGTTGTGGCTCAGTGGTAGCGCGCTTGCATAGCATGTGTGAGGCACTGGATTCAATTCTCAGCACCGCACATAAATAAATGAACAAAATAAAGGTCCATCAACATCTAAAAATTTTTTTTTTAAAAGACATGAGCATAGTACAAGATTTAAATTCTTTGCACATTTGATACGGAGTGAGGGGACATTATCAATGTCAGTATCTTTTAAGTTTTCAATAGGCTTTTTTTTTTTTTTAAAGTTAGAGCACACAAAAGATAACACAAACACCCCAGAAACTTTAAATTTTTTATTCAACAATGTACACTTATTATCTCTTAATTTGATCTACAAATCTCAAGTTTTTTTTCTGATAAAATAAGTAAATCTGAGTATGGTTGTAAAGTGTTTGTAATGTATATTTTTAAAACACTGAACATTAAGTAAGACATCAATAAAGGAAGATTATCATGTTACTGACACTTCCTCAGAATCCATGACATCAGAAACTGCTATAGCAAATACCTAAAGCATTCAGCAAAGGGTAAATTTCTGGTCACTGTTCTTAAATCTAGAAAGTATCTTTTTTTCTGGGCAAAACTTTGAAAAATGTTTTTGGAAGGGGGGGGGGATGTCTTCTAACAACTGTAATCTACTAGTTATCTTCTCCCCCAAATCAAGAATTCAGCTCCTAAGTACCTATGCACATAAGACAGAAATTACTTTGCTCCTCCAATGTTCTAAGACTGAATACAAGTGAACTGACAAATGCTGAAGAGTAGCCAAAGGCATTTACAAGGATGCCTGCTACACCTCCTGCATTTTTTGCCTTTGAGGCCATGCATTATGGGCCACCTTTCAAGTTTTGACTAGTAGTTAGTAGTTAATTAACTGCTACTATCAATGAAGATACAAGAAGGTTTGTGTTTTCAAACTCAACATACATACTTGAAGATACAGAATTAACCCTCTTCTATACACGGGAAAAGCTATAAAATGGAAATATTTCTTTGTCTAGAAGCATAAGGAAAATACCATTAGTAACACCTTCTATTTAAATTTATTTATTAACCTCTCCTACAAAGGTCCTGAAGAAATTAAAGACAATTTTAAAAGATGATTTGACAAGACCTGGCCAGTACATCTATACAACCTTATTTATACACATACATGTGAAGTAAAGCTATTTATTTAGTACATGCAAACTGCAGCGACTGAATCAAATGTGCCTGACTTCTAGACTTATTCTAATCAGCATGAATATTTTTTATAAAGATACACATTAACTTTAAAACAATCTGTGCTTTAAGTAACTGAATGAAACTAATTTCAAACCAATCATTTAGTAAACAAATTAATGCTAAAGCAATAAAGCTATTTAGGCTATCCTACCTTTAAGCCAGCTTTAAACCATAAATTGTCAGAGCTCCATGTGGCAAAGGTTCTTACTTCATTTCAGTTTGAATTACTTCCCATTTCTTTTCCATGAAACAAACCAATATTCACTGAGAAAGAGCATCCAATGATTTATAAGGGGATAAAACTGCCCTGTTTCAAGAAAAGCCCTTTAATAATACAAGTCAAGCTCTTGTTTAAACTTAACTTTATTAATACAGGTGCCAATTAATTTTCCTCTCTTCTAGTCCCACTCATAAGCTAGCTCAGAAGTGTAGTAACTTTGAGCCATGTTTCCAAAGGTGGTAAAACTAAGAACAGCAACATAATAAGGACAGGTCACTTTTGGTAATGACACACAAATTAAACTTTCAAAACATGTGCATAGCTTTATTCATCTACTTAGATCTAACCTTTTCACGGAGCTTCAGCAAAATTCAAGTGTGCAAAATGCATTTCTAAAACGTAATGCAAGCAAAGCTTTTCACATTTACACTGGCAGGAAATACAGAGAAACTAACAAGTCACATTAGGGAGAGTTCAGTTCAGATCTTTTTGTTTTTAATGACAAGAATTGCACAGTTTATCATTTTGAGACAATTGTTGCAGACATAAGTATTTAAAATTTTCTAAGCAAGGTGCTTTAACAATAAAAAAAATTTAAGTTGGAAAGAGCCAATAACTTGGATTAAAGCTCACACAGAATTCCCAATTAACCTGGACTCCATTATCTCCCTATACTTTGCAAACAATGCTTAACAACACTTTTTATAACACTAAAGGAGACAGCAAGCTCAAACTTTTTTCAAAGCACACAAGAAATGGTGTCATCACATTACTTAAAGAAGGTGCTAAAGGGGCAGGAAAGGAAGTGAAGAATCCTTTTACTATTTCCCGCTACAGAATAGCCACTAACAGACTTAAAAAAAAAAAAAAAAGAAAAAAGAAAATCACTTCCCCAGTTTATAAAATAGTTCCAGTTTGACAAGATCTATAACTTTTAACAGAGAGCACCAGTTGGGCAATAGAATGAGCATTTCATACTGCATAAAAATTAGTGAGGTGGTTAAGAACCATCAACTATCTCAGGCATTACTACATGGTCTTTCCAAAAATTTTTTAATATACATGCAAGGCACATTGATATAAAAATAGATCTCTGGCCAACAAATATATTAAATAAGCAAATTAAAATTTTGGCTCTGCGATATTGGCAACATCAAAATATAACCAGATAGCTTTGGACCACACATCATTCTCATATTCCTCCACCTCGTTTGGTGTTTCCCCTGCACTGTTTTGGGTTCCATCTCCTTCAAGTTTGGGGATGTGCTTGAGAAATTCTTTTCCTTTTTTCAAGTAGCATTCCTACTATATTTAAAGTTTACCTTTGCTAAGTAAAAATATACTAGAGAAACAGAAGAGTTGGGAATTTTGACTGATTTAACTAAAACTGACTGGTTTAGAACAGCATTCTCTTTTGTATATAAGCAAAAAGTAAGTTCCCCAGCTCAGACAGCAGATAATTGTTTTCTAAAAGAACAGCAACTTCTTTAAGTCATTCTTCCTCTTTTTGAGGCAAAGGGAATAATAGAAACAAAACTAAGATTTAAAATATTTTTCAGTAGTAGAAGACGTCTTAAGGCCAAAAAGTGTAATATTAAGCAAATCTTTTACTTTCCTAAGTTATTGTCATTCATAGGCCAATACCAACTATGGATTAGCTACTTGTACAGATTCCCTCCCAAAGATAACTTTTTTTTCACTCACTTTTGTTAGTGGCTGTGCTACAGAAAAGGTACCAAAGCAACCTATGGTATATGTATGGTATATAGTAATGTAAAAAGTGCATCACATTCTTGATTTTCAGTTTTCATAGCAGCAGCAGGATTAATCTAAGACAGAAAACAGTTGTATTTTCATTCAAAAAAAAAGAAAAAAAAAAAAACCACAACACCTATCGAAATGTACTCAAGATCATAAAAGGATTCACCTCTATAAATGAGAAGACATTAGACAAACAAGGGCAAACTAAAGGCAATCATTCATATTTACATATTAAAACTTTTTTGTTAACACCAAATCTTTACACTAGATCTAGTAAAACAAATAATGCATTTTAATAAAGCAGATGTTACTAAAGCAGTATCCATTTTTGGAGCCTTTGTTTGTTAGCACCTGAGGAGAAAAAAGGGTATATAGAAAGCTATGTAATTTACCTCAAGTTAATTTGTTGGTCTATATAGACTACAACTTAAGATATACAGTGAAAGTTAAAACTGAACTGGAAAATAAACATTTGTAGGTGTTTTTAATAAGGCTGTAGAAAAGGGATACTGCACTATCAGAAAATGGCTTCAGAACCCTGAACACAAAACTTTATGTATAAAGAGGGAAGTTTGAATCAGCAACTATCACATGAGGATGGGTGTTCCATAGTTTCTAGCCCATATTTGACATTCCCAGTAATATAAAAGCAATATACCATTCTTGCTTCACTGAGTGTTTATTATTATGGAGACAACTTAAAAAAGCATTCATAACATTGCTGGGATCCTTTAACTACTTTAAGATCTTTCTTGAGCAGCAAAACGGTGTGGAACTTAAAACTCAGTAAAGCAGTGAGCAGAGTCGATGTTTCATCATTCTTTAAACCAGCTCCCCATTCTTTAAACCAGCTCCTGGTGGTTCTGGTTCTCACACATCTGACCAGACTGATGTTTAAAAAGAAACCTTTAAAGACACTCATAGCAGAAGCCCATCTTTTTTCACCATAAAAGAATCCTGGTGCCCAGTCAATTAATAAAAGCAATATTGACTTTAAGAACTACCATGCCTCTGGCACATTCAGAGCAGCAAAGTCTAGCCTTGTCCTCTGCCCTTTCCTTTTCCTTAAAATCTAGAAGCAGGGCTATCAGAAAACACCGTCTTATTAGAATCCACCTGCTGGTGCAGCACCAACAGGTCTTACCATAAAAATTGTCATACTTGTATATATTTGTCCTACTACAATATCAATTCTGCCGTTAGCACATGAGGGATCATGTGTTATTTGAGGACATGGCCCAGAGGCACTCCTATACCCATATCCCTTGGAAATTGCACTTTTTAATTAACTTATTTCTCCTAAGAAAGCCTTACAAAAAAATGACTCCCCTCCTTATTTGGTGGAATTTAAAATTAAGCAAAGCCCTATTATAATTTCCTTGCCTGTGGCCATTTGTTCCATGACAAAATCACACTAAGTGGCTTTTTCTTTTTTTAAACTTATTGGCAATTACAGAAAAAAAAAAAAAACCCATTAGATGCCTCTAATATGAGTTAGCAACAAACTTAATAGCCAAATATGAAACTACTGCTGCTATGTCATTTTATGAAGAAACACATTTTGTATTGTGGACAACTCTGATAGCTGAGGTTTGTCATTTTGCCTAAGAACTGTTACTTGAAAAAACAAATGCAGCACTTTTTCTTTTTTTTAAAGTTTTTGCAGATTCTGAGTGGTGACTAAGTATGCAAATGATTAAGGACAGCAAAATTCTAAAATGGAGACAAACTAGCCATTTATTTCAAGGAAAAAAATAAATAAGTAAAACAAGCTGCCATTAACAAATCCCTAGTTATTGGCAATCTCCTCCTAAAAAGCAGGGGAGGAAGATGAGCTACTACAGATGGTGTAAATATATTTTATGTTAATGGTTCATTACTAAGGAGGTTAGAGGAAAGGCTATGCAATTAACTTCAGTCCAGCAAAGTGGGGGTGAATAAAGAGAAAGATGAATACACCCTGTCTTTTGTGGGGACATCTACACAAGAGTGGCATGTGACACAAAAGCCTACAATCAAGACAAATTTAAAAAAAGAAATCTTCACCCATAATTAGTATCTTCATAGCTATTAAAAAAATAGGTCATGATTTCATTCTTAGTGCCATTTTTCAAATACTACCCCTTTTTAAGGATTTAAACCACCTGACTTTATTCTGTGTAATGAAAACAAATGGCACAAAATAAATACAAGTTTCATTCTGAATACTAATGTCTTATACACATTCACTAATCTTTTATCCTTCCCTCACATACAAGCACCCAACACACAAACATGCATGCATACACACATACACACAACCACACACACACCCATAGACACACACAGCTTTTTCAGTCTTTTCAATGGAGGGATGTTAAAAATCCCCTCTAGACTGTATTTGGTTTATGCTACAGTACTAATACTCTGAGTCGAAGGAAAATTTTATAATGAACTGAAACACATTGTTATTTAAATGTGCTAAATTAATCACAGCTGAAGTTTGTTTAGAAGCTTACACAAAAATAATCAGAAAACAGATCAACTCTTCAGATTTTTTTAATAAGTGCTCTGTAAGGAATTGTGTGAGGACCTAAGGAGAAAGATTGCAACAAGTAGAGTTAAGTGTAACCAAACAGCACAAAGGAGAATTTGTCCCAAAGTCCTGCTTGTACCTAGGCAATTAAGTCCATTAACCCAATGCCCAAAAATACTGACGGTTAATATGATGGGGCACTAGGGTTCCCAGAAAATTAAGACATTCCTAACCACTATATATACCTCTAATCATATAAATTTCAGTTCAGAAATAAAAGTGAAATGTTGCATTGTTTCATTTAGAATTGAGACTCAAAAAAACCTTTGGACAAACAGAGAAGGGTTACATTCTCTTCAGCTTCTCTGAACCCAGAAGCCTGAGGGATATAGGAGGGAATTAAGAAAGCAAAGACTTTTTAAAAAGTATTTAATTGTTGCTTCCAAGGTAAATTCAGATGGGGGTTGGGGTGTTTTTTTTCTTAAATATATGTTCATTCAACTCTGTATGTCACAAACCAAGAAAGTTTGTGAGTTGCGAAACAAAAAAACTTTAAAATTCCAGGCAAGCAAAATGGACATTTAAAAATAAGAGGTGTGGGGTGAGGGTGGGGATCTGGCCCTAAGACAAGTGGTTACACAAGGCAATTGAACACACAGCAGAACTTTAAAACCTGTAAAACAAACTGGAGCCTTTTTTTTTTCTTTAATCAACCTTTTATCTTTTTTTTAAACTTTTTGAAAATTTTTATTAAAAAAAAAAAAAAAAACACAAAACACAAGACTTTTTTTCACTTCAGTATGTGGTATGTTGCATTTTCCAGTTTGTTCAATGCTTTAAAGCTCAAGGATGCCTCTGCTTTCAATTGTACATGGGCCTGAAGCATCCTAGCTTTTGGCAAGCAGGCAGGAGACTCAACAAAAATCAAAATAGGAACAAGGCAGACTAAATGCAGGGCACATCTGTAAACATATTATACATTTGAAAATTACAATATCAGTAAAAGTGATACAGTTTACAGGTGAAATGAAACTATCTGGAACTGGCCTACCACAAGTTTCTGAACCTGGACTGATACAATAAGTTATTTTATATATATATATATGTATATATATATATTATGTATAAAAAGTTTTGTTTACATCAAGTGGAATTGGCAATCCATGCTTATAACTTTTTTAAAAATCTAAGCAGGGCAGAAATCCAGACTAAAAAGATATTTTCTCTACTCTACATTGAGTCCAACAGCTTCTTTCATGAACTACTTATTAAAAGCCTCAAATAATCAACAAAACAAGAAAACCATCCATACTACAGTCACTCAAAACTGGACATTTCTTAAGCAAAGGGGTAGAGCAAAAAAAGCAGTTCCTTTCTCCCCAGATATTCCTAGGGGATCCAGCTTACTTTATTAGAAGACTACAACTCTATATAAATGCCCTGCTATTTTAACCTGTATTTGACATACATGGATATACTAATTTCTCTCTGTGTGTATATGTGTGTGTGATGTTATGCTGTGTCAGGCCAGAGAACTTGTTATTATATCACTAACATCACCCAATCTTAAATTGGACCCTTAGTTTCTGCACACACACACACAAAAAATTTATTTCAGCATGCTATACACAAGCTGCAGTGCAACAGGATGGCAATGTGATGATAAGACAGGGCTAATGCTCTTTTCTGCCCAAAAGAAAATTTCAGAATTTCACATTATTTTCCTTAAAAACCCATTTTGCTCTAGTAATAAAATATATTTACTAAGATATAATTAGAAGCTAATAAGCTCAGAAGTATAATTTGCATGAAAGCACACCTTCTATAAGCAGGGTTTATTACCTCCTCACTGGCTAAAAACATGAAAAGTTTAGTTTTCATTGCCTTTTTTTCTTCCCCTTTTAGATTTTGCTGAGAAATCAAGAGAATTTACAGAAAAGTACAAGTTTCTCTTAGATGTTTGATGAAAAACAAGGAAAACTGCACATTTAGTGTTAGTGACAGAGAGCAAGTCTGGAGCACCTACAGTTGAAAAGCAGAATATATTTTTGCTCCCAGTTATACAATTACATTAAAATATGGGCAAAGGATTCCCCCCATAACTAAGCCAATTGCTTGTTCTGCAACTTTTCTTTAAATGACACTCATGGATTCTTCAGTTGTTAAAAGTTCAACATATAACCAAAACAAGTTAACTATGGCCCACCAACTACTCCAGAATTGTAGAACTTCAATGCCCTCCCCTATCCCCACCCCACAAAAAACAAAAGGAAAGAACAAAAAGATTTCCCCAATACCCCACAGAGGCTGCTTAAACTCCTGGCAAGACATGCAAATCATATTTGCTAAAAAAAAAAAAAAAATACACCCCTGCAAACTTCAAGGCATTTATCCAGCATTCTCGCAGGGCTTAAAGTAAAACCAAAAGATCAAGGGAGGAGTAGGGGATAATGTTGAATCATCTGGGTTCCCCATGATTAGTGTATCACTTTAGTCACAGAACAAGATTCAGAGATCTTTTAAGTGGATTTGCCTTTCCAGTGGGTCATTTGTTGCCCAAGTTGATGACAGCAGGAACTTTAGAACCACGCTTGTAAGTCTGTATTCATTAATCACTTGCATTCACACTTAAACAAAAACTTACAAATGAAAAGAAAAAAAGAGAGAGGAAAAAAAAAAAAAAAAAAAAAAACACAACAAACTATTCAGTACCGGAGATTAAATAACCATGTGTAGTCTCTTGAAATAAACTTGATTCCTTAAGAAGTCTAATTACTTTCAGTTGCCTTTTTTTAAATAACTATATATATATATATAAATGTATATATATATATTTGTATATATTATCCTGTGATTCTACTTATGGTTCCTCTGCTGCGTTGAAGATCTAGGAGCATAAAAGCCTTGTGTCCCCCATGAATGGTGGCTCTAATGCTGCAGAAAGGTTACAAACAGGCAGTCTGGTCCTTCATTGATCTGGACTATCCATGGCTTCATTGTAAGTGATTATCCTTTTGGGATCTAGAGGGAAGGTTAAAAAAAAAAAGTAAAGATAAGAAATGGAATCCCAAAATAAAGCCTAAGTAATCATAGTTTAGGCTGCCCCCTCTTATTAAAAACACAATTTAAAGGCTACTCTTTATAAATACACATCCAATTCAGTTTCTTAACTCAAAAAAATCAGTGGTAGAGAACTTGCCTAGTAAGTGTAAGGCACTGGGTTCAATCCTCAGAACCACATAAAAATAAATGAAATAAAGGTATTCTGTCTACGTACACAATAACACAAAACGTAAACTTAGCCAGGCATGGTAGTGCACACCTGTAACAGGAGGATTACAAGTTCAAAACCATCCTCAGCATCAGCGAGCAACTCAGTGTCTCTAAATAAAATACAAAATGGGCTGGGGATGTGGTTCAGTCCTTGAGTGACCCTGAGTTCAATCCCCAGTACCAAGAAAAGGAAATCTGAAAAAAGTGGAGTCCCTTCCTTGCAAAAAACAAAAACTTAAACCATCAAATCTTCATACAAAAAACAACAACAAAAACCACTTTCCTCTTTTTCTTTTCAGCAACTGAAGTTAAAATTTATTTTAACTGGTACAGACTGTCCAACAAGGACCAGTTTAATTAAAAACTTAGCAACCAAAAACTTCACTGTGAAGTTTTTGATGTTAGTTCTAATCATGACTCATTGATTCCTTCTTATTTTCCACAGGACCACCAGCCTTCATTCTCAGCAAAAGCAGATGCTGTAGCTCAGTGGTAGTGTGTGTGCAAGGTCCTCCTTCAATCTCTAGCACCAGTGCATGCACACATATGAAAAGAAAAGGAAAAAAAAATTAAAAGCCTAGGGGTCTTCTGGGTTCAAAATATAAAACTGTCAGAATATGCCCAGGCAAAGCCTGCAGGGGTATTCTAAAGTATTAAATTTCTATTATTTAGCTAAATGCTCCCATTTTCTGAAGGGACAATATTTTTATTACATACTACTTCTACCTATACTAAGAATTTTTTAAAGTACACATACTTCAATGCAAAATAGACAAACCAATAAAACTTGTCACCTAGTGGAAAATAATAATGGCCTGAAAATAGTAACATATAACTTAAGCTCATATCAGCTTAAGAATCAATCTAAGGCTGGGATTGTAGCTCAGTGGTAGAGCACTTGCCTAGAACATGTGATACTGGGTTTGATCCTCAGCACCATATAAAAATAAACAAAATAAAGGAATTGTGTCCACCTACAACTAAAAAAAAAAAAAAAAAAAATCAATCTAGTCCAGAAATTATGTAATATCCTTTCTGGGACTCCAAGGCCCACCTTCTGGCAATCTATTATGAAAATAATGCTCATTTCTAATAGTAGTCACTTTACAGTACAAGGTAGGTCTACTTTTGAAGGGTATATTTTCTAATCTGTTTTTTAAGTTGTATATTTGATTAAGAAAGTACCCCCCCCCCCAAAAAAAAATCTAAATAATTTAAGAAAAAGACTTGACCCTAAGAAACAAGGTGAGGTCAAAGCTATAGTTTAAAAAAAAAAAAAAAAAAGGTGGAGTAGTGTTAGGACATTAGGGGAACCTACATTCTAATCCTGCCACCCTCTAGTTTCTATACCTATTATATTTTAATATATTTAGGGAAAAGGCAAACAATAATTAGTATAACCAATTTTAACTTTTTGAAGATTCCAAATAATCCACATGTTGATTTTTTTATTCCCTCCTGCTAGTCATACCTTGGTTATGGGAGGGTGAAAATAATTGCGTGCGCCCGCCCACGAGAGTTCCAGAGACTGAATCCAGGATCCCTTGCATGCTAAAAACACTATATCCTTACCCCACTGATCTTCCTTTCTATCAGAGTTAAAAAAATAATTCACTGCTTTGTCCAGCTGCTGGAGTATTTTCATACTTATAGTATTACCTGATCCTTATATGGCATATTTATAGTACCTGATCCTTATATGGCAGCTAGTGCCTTGTGACTGCAATAATTAAATAGCAAAAAATACAAAATGTATTTGGTAGGTCACTTCATCTGTTATTCCCAGCCAAAAAGAATATGTAACAACTGCTCATTAATACTAACATTTCAGGTAATCTAAACATTCTTACCTTGCTTCTGCAAATTCCAAATAGATTCCATTTCTGCAGGGAAAAAAAGAAAAAGGATCATTTTATGACAACTTTCAAGGAACAAATGCTTTTTCCCTTAAAAAAAAAAAAATACATATATATAACCTAGATTGATTACAGCTGGGCTAGGGCTAAAAATAACAATTCTACAAAGCACTGATGTCTTTCTGTAATTCTTTTTTTTTTTTTTTTTGAACTAGGGATTTGAAACCAGAGGTACTCTATCACTGGGCTACATCCCCAATCCTTTTTTAAACATTTTTTTTTAGTTGTTGATAAAACCTTTATTTTATTTATTTATATGTAGTGCTGATAATGGAACCCAGAGTGCCTCACACATGCCAAGCAAGTGTGCTACTGCTGAGCCACAGCCCCTTTTTATTTAAAGACAGGGTCTCCCCTAAATTGCAGATGCTGGCCTTGAACTTGCAATCTTCCTACCTTAACTTCCCTAGGTGCTGGAATTAAAGGCTTGCAGCACTGCACCCTTCTAAGAGATGAACCTATAATTCTTAATTGCCATGTTTAATACAGAAAAAAAAAAAAAACCCACCCACCCACACAACCAAATACTTCATGGCAACTAATCACTTCTGAAGAAGTCTTTTGGACACAGCATTTATCAAAGTTGATTAAATCCGATGCTTAATATAAGCATCCAGGCATGTGGTTCTACCTCTAAACTATACCTACTTGTCATTTTAACCCATAAGGTCAATATGCCAATCCATATCCAGTGACTAATGACAAGATCCTCATTTGCTCCAATTTCATTCAAAACATCGACAAGGAGCTTATTTGGCATTTTCATTAAGAAAATATGAACACACCCAAATGATAGCAACAGAGAAAATGCAAGACAAATTCTACCAGGCATACAAGGAAGCTTCACAAGAGATACCTGAAGCCCTGATGAGTAAGACAGTAGATGACTATTATTCTATAAGAATCAAAGGAAACACTGTACCTAGGACATAAAGTAAATTTAAAAACTACTTAGTAAAAGGAACAAACTATAATAAAAATCAAGAATAAATATTTCTCTTATGGTCATACAACAGTTATTTGGAAAAGCTGAAGATTATTTTACTCTATTTGGATTCTGTGTTAAGTGTAATCTAGGGCTGGGGATGTGGCTCAAGCGGTAGCGCGCTCGCCTGGCATGCCGTGCGGCCCGGGTTCGATCCTCAGCACCACATACAAACAAAGATGTTGTGTCCGCCGAAAACTAAAAAATAAATATTAAAAAAAAAGTGTAATCTAATTTATTAGCAATCAATATAAAGAAAAATAAACTGGAGCTCATGAAGAAGGGATGTATCTGGACACCAGTTACAGCTAAGTCACAATCTAACCCCTCTCCAGGTTTAAATGAAATTAAATGTATGGACCTAAAATTGTAACTGTCATATGCATATGGATGGGGAAAGGAAATAGTATACTCTCTCCCTGCAATGAGCCAAGATCAAAACCATATCTAACCAGCATGGTGGTACACACCTGTAATCTCAACTGAAGCTTTTACTCAAATGCTACAGATTTCTGCTAAGAAAATTACATTATCCTCAAATGAAGGATCTGGAATAGTCAATTTGATTATGTCTGATGAGGGAAAAAGAAGATATAATTCAGAGCTTAAAAGCTAGCCAGCGGGGTTGGGCGTGGGGGTTGTGGCTCAGTGGTAGAGTACTCGCCTAGAATGTGCAAGGCCCTGGGTTCGACCCTCAGCACCACATAAAAATAAATAAAGATATTGTGTCCAACTAAAAAATAAATATTAAAAACAAATAAGCAAGCCAGGAGCCAGCATAGTACAGCCAAAAAATAAGCTAAAATAAAAGTGAATGCAAATTCCTTTCCTGCATTAATATTCCTTCTGTGACTACTAGCAACTTTATTTCCTCAATGGGGATAAAATTCAAGGCATGCTAGGCAAGTGTTCTATCACTCAGCTACATCTTCCAGACCTTAAAATTTAAGTTTCCATGAAACTCAAGGTTGCAACCAGAAAGAAAATATAAATAGTCTGATGCCATACTTAACCCTAACTAAGGCTAACAAGAAGTAACAATAGATTTGATATTATATTTTTGGCTGCCTGTTTTTACTCATTTTATTGGATCATAGCTACACTCACTGTTTATATGCCATCTATGGCTGCTTTGGAGATACAAGGCAAAATCAAGTAATGCGTTATTTGCAACAGAGATCCTACAGGTCACAAATCCTAAAATATTTACTGTTTTGCCCTTTATACAAAAAGTTAAATGACCCATATTTTATAAGGTTGAAAGTCGCTAAGATTTAAAGATTTAGAGGAAGAACACTTTTCAGAGGACAGACCAAAAAGGTCTATGTAAGGGAAGTTTATTGGGCTGGGGATGTGGCTCAAGCGGTAGCGTGCTCGCCTGGCATGCGTGCGGCCCGGGTTCGATCCTTAGCACCACATACAAACAAAGATGTTGTGTCCGCCGAAAACTAAAATAAATAAATAAATATTAAAAAAAAAAAAAAAAAAAGAGGGAAGTTTATTATTAATTATACAGGTGAAGGGAAGTCACTGAAGGAATCATTACTATACTAAATATTAGAAATGGTTCTTCCAGGCAACTGAAAAGAATGAGATAACATCAAGTCCAATAAATGCTACTGCAAAATAAGTTATGACAGTTTTTTGTCAGAGACAGAAAAGAAAAATGGAGACATTAAGAGACTGGATCTATATAATCTAATGACAAATTGGACTAAAATGTTAACTCACTGAGAGAAAAGGTGGGGGAAAAAAAGTGGGGGTGGGGATACTGGGGATTGAACCCTGGGGTATATAACTGTTGAGCCACATGCCCAGTCCCTATTTATACTTGGCAAACTAATTCAAATGTATACACACCTTAATTCTGTGTATATAAAATTGAATTCATTAAGGTGATACAACAAAGTAACAGCAGTTTAAGAAGACTTAAAGTTTAACATACAAGAGAATTGGATGAGATTATCATAACTTTGTGTAGTATGAAAAAGGAACTCAAGTAATGTCAAAATTTAAGGAACAGAATGATAGAGAGCAAAGAAATTCAAAGTAGATAATTTAGGGAAGGAGTATTCAACTATGATGATTCTTAACCAGTATTAAGACACTTGCAACTTTCTAGCCATCTATTCCTTTTTATTCAGCCCAATGCCAGGGCCCTGGCTCAAGTATAGTGATATCTACAATTTACATACCTACATTTCTACTTTCTATAAAGCAGGCACTCTACCAACTGAGCTATATCCCCAGCCCTACAATTACCTTTTAACTTGCCTCTTTGCCATTAGTCAGTCCAGCTTCACTTTCAATGTTTACCACTCTTCCTTTAAAAAGAATTCTGAAGGTTGGGGTTGTAGCTCAGTGGTAGAGCGCTTGCCCAGCTTGTGTTGAAGCACTGGGTTCAATCCTCAACACCATATAAAACAATTTAGAAAAGAGCAACTTTTACTTAAATCTAACCAGACATGGTGTCACACACCTGTAATCCTAGTGACTCAGAAGGTTGAGGCAGGAGTATTGCAAATTCTTCCCTTAGTGCTTGGTACTATAAATACTGATTTGAATGAAACATTCAAATAAGCCAGGAAATAACACAACATAAAGTAGTAACTAAGTAAGATTCCCTTGATACCACTAACATTCAACTTTTGACCTCCCAAAACAGCAATTTCATATGATCAAAACCAATTTAGTATTCAATTCTAAAATTTCTCAAAGAAAAAGAATGAAGTTATGAATCAAAGTCAACCTGAAACTTATTTTTTGTCTTTAAATTTGAACAATGATCCTATTCTCTGGTTAACAAAATGTTAAAAATTAACATCTAAATTGATGTTGATCAATACATAATAGAACTCTCAAAATAAAAAGTCAAGCCAGATGCAACGTTGCATGCCTGTAATCCTAGCGGCTCAAGAAGATGAGGCAGGAAGATCAGGAGTTCAAAGACAGCCTCAGAAAAAGCGAGAGGCTAAGCAACTCCGTAAGACCCTGTCTCTAAATAAATATAAGACAGGGCTAGTATGTGCCCAAGTTCAATCCCTGGCACCTAACTAACTAAATAAATAAATAAAACATAAGGCCAACTTCCATAATTGTGAGCCCTAAGCCAATCTACAATTAATCACACTTTTCAATCACTTAGAAGCCATTTTATACCAAATTCCTTAAGATTCAGCAATCATGGTAAGATCTTCAATTTCAATTCTTTTTCTTAACCTAGATTTACCTATCTTTTGATAATACAAACTATCCCAATACTATGTTTTCCTATTCTGATTTCCTTTCTCAACTAGTCAACTGTACACCTGCCTATTCATTTACAAAGAAATCTTTCAGGGGGTGGGGATGTGGCTCAGTGAGCACTTGCTTGGTAAATGCAAGGCCACAGGTTTGATCCCCAGGACTTGGGGGTGTGTGTGTGGGGGGGGTCCTTTCAGAAATCTCACCTATTCATTACTTTTTCAATTTGACTGTAACTAGAAAGAGGTACATATTTTCAGATAACTTTGATTTATGGCAGTTAGAAGTCACCACCGTTTCAGTAAACAATAAATCCTTCATCCCCAATTTGAAGCACCAACCAATCAGAATAAGCACGATAGTCTGGACCACCTCTAAATCCACAACAGAAACTTAACAAGTTGGTTTTGTTACTTTTCTCTTTTCTACAATACTTATTCTAATCTGGTTCATACTGTAAGGGTGAAATATCAAATTCAAGCTGCTTGGAATGAAACTTGGAAAGATGAGGCAGGAAGATCAGTACTTGACAACAGTACTTGACAATTCTACTTTAATAGCATGGGTGATTTTTTTATTTCCTCCTTACTTAAACTAGTAAAAACTGGGCTTAAATTTCAGCTTCTTTAAAATTCTTACAAGTGGGCTGGGGATGTGGCTCAAGCGGTAGCGCGCTTGCCTGGCATGCATGCGGCCCGGGTTCGATCCTCAGCACCACATACAAACAAAGATGTTGTGT